GACTTTAACTATACCAGTCCAGGAGCTGCCAAAAGCCCAGCTCTGCATTCTTAATAAACGGATGGGCTCTAGAACCAGCCACCCAACCTGCCTGCCACAGGGCACAAAGACATTAAGACACAGTTAACACCTTCTTCCAAAATAAGGGGACTGAGCGTGGGATAAGCTAGATGCAAGATTTTGAAGTGGACGGTGAACAGGTTGGAAAACGTAGCACCTTTCAGCCGGCTGACTGGAGAAAGGCCAGCGCCTGCTTCCCACTTACTCGGATGCGTTTGGCCCTGCGCATGTCATCGGCGGTCAGGGTGCTCTGGGTGGGCAGCACGCTCTCCTCGTGCTGGGGCTGCAGGTGCAGGCTGTGCGCTTCCGGCTCCTGCTCCAGGGAAGACGGGGTCTCCTGTGGCAGCTGAGGGATCGGGAGAGTGGGCGGTTCTGGTTGATCCAGCCCATTCAGAGTAGCTGGCTCAGCCTCATCAAACTGTTCCTTGGGGGAGAAATGTAGCAAGTCCTGAAATTGCAATAACCAAGAATTATTCCCTTACCTAGATAGAGATGGGCGTGCTTTGAAAGAATGTCAGCTATGGTTTTGAATTACTGCTTTTTTGAAATGACTAGAGTCGTAATGCTCAGAAAAAGTATTTTCCTCCTGGGGAAGTTAATTAGACAACTACCCACAGAACGTGAAAACTATGAGACATTCCAGATCGCTTCATGAGGAAAAGACTCTTCTGGAACATCATTTTTTAAATTTTTAAACTAATTAAAGAGTCCCCCAATATCTCCAGACAAATTCAAAGCTTTAGGGCAGGAAAGTTGGGTTTTTGTTCTAAGTAATATCTGAAAATACAGTTTTCTTTGCCTTTCTCTAGCCACGCTTTTTTTTTTTTTTTTTTTACTAATTCATTTTTATTGCATTTTACAAAAAGGTAACAGCAAGTTTAAAAAACCAACCATGCTTTTTTTTTTTTTTTTTTTTTTTTACTAATTCATTTTTGTTGCATTTTACAAAAAGTTAACAGCAAGTTTAAAAAACCAACCATGCCCCGGTCCATCTTCATGGATGCCTTAGAGAGCACTGCTCCTGACTCCCTTTCCCAGCCTGCACTGGGCGGGGGATGCTGCCCCAGGCTGTGGATGTGAAGTTCTCCTTTGGGTCTCTAGCCACACTGTAAGCAACAGGCAGCAGAGGGCTGGCCTGACAGAGCTGTCATCCTCGGAAGGGCATCTGCATTAAATCCAATAGTAGTGCCGGTACATCCTCTAATTAACTACAACGGTAGTGCCGGTACGCCCTCTCAGCCAGCATCTTTCCCATCCGCCCCAGTACCTGTGTCCCATCATCACACTTCTCCCCATTTTCACTGGTGATTTCCAAGCGGATAAACTTTGGAGGACGCCCTGGCCGTCGACCTGGGCCAAATCGCCTCTTGCCTCGTCCCCTTCCTCTGCATCTTGTTCTGAGGATAAGAGATTGGGTTATAATGAGTCATGGCTACATAATGCGCCATTAACAAATACTTCCCCAAATCTTGATTTCCTTACTTTATTATTCTTCCTGACTTTTCTCCTAATGGAAACAATTGTTTCTGCTAATATACACTTTTTAAATGTCTCATCTTTGCTGTCTAGAGAGCTCAAAGAGATGTCTCAAATTATTCAGGAAAAAAAAGGAGTTGAGCCCTGGCCGGCGTGGGTCAGTGGACTGTGCAACCCAACCCTCCGCCCACTCTGCACGGCACCTCGCAGCGAAGGAGCTGGAGATGGCACGGCCACGCTGGTGGTCTCCCTGTAATTCATGGCCATGGGCCTCGGCGAGCTCCCCAGGCTGCAGGCAATCATACTGTACTTCCCAGACCACTTACTTCCCACTCCCTAAATGCGTGTCACACCGTCTCCTCTCTTCTCAAATCCTACAGAGGTTGGTAGCCCTACCTCTGTCCTCTGGTCCTTTCCCTTCCAAACCACTCTCAGTCTTCACGGGGCAGTTGGAAGAGCTTCTCGCTGGACCCCCTGTCTTCACTCGAGCTCCAATATAAGCTAAAATGGTTTTATTTTTATCCGGGTGATGTTTTAACATATAATTGACATCACAATACTCCCCGATCAGAACACTCTAAAGATTCCTTACCAACACTCAGAATAAAATCCAAATTTCTCACCATTACTCATAAGGCCTACCTGTTCTGGCTCCTGCCTACCCCATCCGGTATGATTCTCCCTCCTTTATCTTTTTTATATAGTGGAGTTAAACATACAATGAAGGAATTCTGCTAATAAAAACAGTCTGAAAATCAAAGACGCAGATTATTTCAAAGGTGTATACTATCTCAAGAATTCATACTTTAGGATCTTTAGTTAGGGGAGATTTAACTAAGGTGAAAGGCCCTCCCATTGCTGGGGACTGGTTATGCTGGAAAAGAGTTTTATGATAAGTGAGGATGGAGTGGGCGGGAAATGACATAAAAAATTCCCCTCAGCAGCCTATCTGGTTACCTGTCTACACACACGTATACACAAACACTCATTAGTTTATAAACAATATGAAATGAGTCTAGACTTGAAAACCTAAGTTTCTGAAACCTTCCCCATCATTCTACCTGCTAAATACATCCAGTTTCTCGTCATGAGAATTGAGATGCTGTTGCAACTGCTCCGAGCTTATAAATCGGCGGTTACATTCATAGCAGGGCCAATTCTTCTCTTGCTCTCGAAGAACTACAGTCACAGGAGAGAAGTTATAAAGGCTGATGATCAATAGACACCAATAAAACTCAAGCATCCTCCCCCACTCATCTCACCACAGCCAAGTTCATAAACATACAGTGTCTGCTACTTGCATTACTGTTTAAAATCAAAGGCTAAAGTTTGACAGAGAACAATTTTTAGAACCTTATTTTCTGTATATTCATGATGTAAGAACAAACATCCTCATACTACCCTCTTCCACCCCCAACACACACACACACACACACACACACACACACACACACACAGCCTCACCACACTGGAAGGACAGAAAGTGCTACAGTGTGAATCTGTATTCAGATAACCTAGTGATTCAGATGCAAGCTTCAAAATCTGAGGGTATATTTTATCACAAATAACTTGAAAATCAATGCCCAATAGAACCACTTTGGCACAATGTTCAGAGCTGATTGTATGCATAACCTATGACCCAGCAATTCCACTCCGAGAGGTACACCCCTGAAATGCACACACATGTTCACTAAAAAACATGCATAAGAATGTTCACAGTGGCACTCTTCATAAGATCCAAAAGCTGAAAATGACCCTCCCATATAATAACGAATTTAACCGGCTTTTGTCCCTGGCTCCTGGGAGATAACCTCTAGACCTTGGAATTTCCCGAGTAATATGTGTTCTTGTGATTGATAGTAGTTCCTGACCATCCCTGAATTTATGCTAATGAGATGACTCTGATGAGGGCTGGCTGTGCCAGAAAGCCAGGCCACTTGATTACAGATTGCTTTGAGCAAGGCGATAGCAGCCAGGGAGTGGAGCAGGAGCCGGAGGGTAAGTTCAACCCCAGGGACAATGATGTGATTCACTCCATGGCGCCTAGGTAATGAGACCTCAAAAAAACCCCTGGGCCTCGAAGCTCAGGTGAGCTCCCGTGGTTGCTAAGCATACATCAATGTGCCAGGAAGGTGACATGGCCCAAGGACCGATCTGGTATTCTATTGTATGAATATACCACAATTCATTTGTCTATTTTACCGTAATGGAAATTTGGGTTGTATAAAGCAATTCTGACACTACCTACTTGGAGTTAGGTCACATAGCAATGAGAACGATCAAATAACAATACACAACAATATGGATGAATCTCATGAACATAATGTTGAGCAAAGGGTGCACACCAGAGGTGTACACATCACACAGTTCTATCAGACAAAGCTCGGTGCCAGCACGTCGTGTCTGGGAGGGAAGTCAGGAGGCATCACATTGGGGTGAGTGGCAACTGAAAGAGGCCTCCTGGGTGCAGGTGACACAGGTATGTTCACTTCATGGAAAGTCGCCGAGCTGTATACTTCTAATTTGTGCATTTCTATGTATGGAGATTATCCTACCGTAACACTTATATTAAAAACAAAATCGATGCCTGTCTGGCTATGTCCCCAGAGATTACATCTAGATAGGAATCACCCTCTGATTTAGCATGTGCAGGTTTTCATTACGTTAAATACTATTTCCCAGCACTCATGAAAGAGATGTAAATATGTCACTGTCATTTGATCCTAGAATTAGACAGGGATGCGTAGCTCTAGAAAGCCTACTGGAATATCTTTTTAAATATATTGAGATAGAAAAACTAGGGATTGCATAAAGATACAATCTATGTAACTTAGAACTCATATATAACATATATATTTTTTTTAAAAAGGCAGCCACCTTTCCTTTCTTCCTCAGAAATGTCGTGAATCTTCTGGTTCACGAACTCAGCATAGGACGCGGCATACCACACCTGCAAGAACCAAGCGTATTGTCAGGCACTGAGGGCCACCACCAGGTGCTCTCTGCGAGCTTAACTTCTCAAATACTTCTCCTGCTCATACGAAACAATGCGGGCCTTTCCACAGCCCGTGGAGAGCAGCTCACAGCAACAACACATCCCACTGTGCCCAACCCCTCCAACTCCAGTCGGCAGATGGGCACTCAGGAAGTTCATCTGCCAAGACACACAGCGTGTTTTCGTTTGCCTTTTTTTTAAAAAATTGTTTTTGTTATTAGAACGACTTCATGTCTCTTCATCTAAATAAAACACAGCCTCTCCTGATGTTTTTATCTGTATTTAAACACGGGTTTTCACACCGCTGTAATCACAGCGGCTCCCGCCCCCACCAGTCCCCAAACGGCTCTCACCCAGGGCCTCCAGATGCTGTCTCGCCCTTCCCGGTCTCTTCCTGCATCTGCTCCATGTCTGGCTCTTCTTCCTCTCCCTGACTTCTAAATACTGGTGTTTCTCAAAGCTTAGTCCAAGTTCAGGGCCTTCTTCATTTTTACAAAGGTGGTCATATCCATTTCCAACCAATTCTATGCTAATAACTCCCAAATCAGTATCTCTATCCTAGACCCTCCCTGTTCCCTCCACGTACATTCTATCGCCTACTTGATATTTTGGATGTTTCACAAACAGCTCCAACTTAACGTGCCCAGAACTGAATTCAAGATGCTCCCCTACTCCCCTACTAACTACTCTTACCTTCCCCATTTCAATAAACATACCACCTTCCAACCAACTGCTCAGACTTGAAACCCAAGAGGTATCTTGGACTTCTGTTTTCTTCTGTAATCCTTTAGCAAAAACTGTCGATTGCTCAGATGTTCATCTGTTTCTGCCACTAGATACATGCCAATGAGCCTCCTCTTTTCTACTCTTGCTCCCTCCAGCCCATTCTCCACACAGAAGCTAGAGTGGTTTTCTTAAAACACCGTCAGATTCCGCCATTCCCGTGCTTAAAAGCCAGCAACAGCTTCTTGTTTGATGACAAACCTGACATGCTTGGCAGCCTCCTAAGGACACATAATCTGGTCCTACCTTGCTAAGCAATCCCAGCTCTCATCACTCTACTTCACTGTTTCTTCAACCAAGAGGCCCGTGGTCAGTTCCTCAAACATGCCTAGTTCTTTCCCACCCCAACCTTCACTTGCCCTTGCTGCTTCACCACTGGGAATGCTGGATTCTTTTCTTCACTGTCCACTAACCCTGCTCCACTGCTGGCCCCTTCTTGTTAGCTAGTTCTCGGCCTAATTATCTCTTTAGCAAGGCCCTCCCTCTCCAGAGATCTAAACTGGTCCCGTTCCTGCTATTTGCTTTTTTTTGCACCATTTGTTTCCTTCCTAATGCTCACCACTATTTGGTATCGTTTGCTTATTTATATCCTTTGCCCATCCTCCCCCCTTCCCACCTCCCCCATCTAGAATACAAGTTTCCTAACACAGGGAACCATCCACCTTTTCCTCGTGTCTGAAACCAGTAGGAGTTCCGTGTATTAATCCCTAAATGAATGAATCATACATCATTGTTATGGAACATTATTTTAGCAATATGAAAATATTAATTTTGAGAGACTTCATTTTTAACTGCGGATACTATTCCACAAAGTCTGTATTCTAAAATGTACTTAGCCATGACCCTGTGGTAGGTGATTGTGGTTTTGCTGTTATAAATTCGGGGCGGGGGGAGTAGGGAAAGCATTAATTAATCACAATTCCTAGCAGAGCCCCCACTGAGGCAGCTCCGTACCTTCAGTTCCTGCTTGGGTTCCACGTTCTTTATTGTTGTGTAATACACGTGATGGCCATACTGGTAAGCCACCAGGTTCTGCTCCAGGTGGTTCTGGGCTGGACGCACAAACATCATCCAGTTACAAAGGGTCTCATCAGACAACTCAAACCATAGGTCTTCGTGCAAGTCCCTGTCTTTTCTGTCCCCTTTGTCAAGGGAAACCTGCAACCGAAGAGAAAGTTAAAAGCCACACCAAACAACAAAAGTAAAATCTTCAATAGGCTCTGCATTCGCATCATAATAATAAAAGATTAAACCATATGTCCCAATTCTCCCCTTTGCATAGCTCCTGGAATTGTGTCTTGCCAAATATAAAAGGGAAAGGATACTTCCAAAGACCCACCTATAGGAGAATGACCTGGCAAAACCTCAAAGTTAACAACCTGATTGTATAGCTTCTGATGATGTTTTATCATTAACTAACACATCAAAAAATGCTACAAATAAGCCAGAAAATGCAAGCAAAATACTCCATTTCATTACAACTGGCTTTCATTTGGGATTCAACTGCATTCATTTATAATGTTCAGCCTGTATTTCTCTTTATAAAGGAATATTCTTTCTTAGAGATCTAGAGCATTTACCAAAGAACATCTCCCCGTGACAGCACCTAATTTCTCAAAACACACACCCCAAATATTTTTCCTTCCCACTGCCCTTTCTTGGCTCTCCAGAGTGGCTCTCAAAGAGGCAGTCACCAAGGGGTTAAACAGAAGCAAAAGCATCAAATGTAAAAAAAAAAAAAAAAGATCAGTATAAATATACTTTAACATACAGTGAGCTATTCTTTAGCAAAAAGATTCCACATCAGTTTCAAAAATTGAAAAGTGATTTTCTTGAAAACATTCTTGGTACTTAGATACCTCTTTTCTGCCAAGGGCCATTTGGATATTTGTAACCTCATTCGCAGGTCATACAATATTATCAATTTAAAAATTAGCCAGCCCAAACCGGTTTGGCTCAGTGGATAGAGCGTCGGCCTGCAGACTGAAGGGTCCGGGTTCGATTCTGGTCAAGGGCATGTACCTTGGTTGTGGGCACATTCCCAGTAGGGGGCGTGCAGGAGGCAGCTGATCGATGTTTCTCTCTTATCGATGTTTCTAACTCTCTATCCCTCTCCCTTCCTCTCTGTAAAAAATCAATAAAATATATATTTTTTTAAAAATTAGCCTGCTCTATTTGGTCAAACATTTAATTAACTCACCCCTACTGCCTGGGCAGGGCCAGACCAAAGGATTTTGCGGGCCTTCTATGGCCCAAGGGCTGGACGTTCCCCACCCCTGGTTTACACAATCCTCTGTGTTCTAATCATTTTGCGGGGGAGGTGTTAGAGCACCTGTTATGGGCTGAATTATGTGCCGCCCTCCCTACCCCCGCCGCCAAAAACAAACAAAAAAACTTCATATGTTGTAGACCTAACTCCCAAGAGCTCAGAATGTGATTATATTTGTCGATAGGACTTTTAAAGAGGCGGTTATGTTTAAGTGGGGTCATTAGAGTGGGTCCTACCCCAACCTGACGGGTGTCCTTACAAGAAGAGATCGGGACACACAGAGAGACACCAGGGCAGCCTTCCAGGGAGAGATGACCAGAGAGGCAGCAAGAAGGCGGCCTCCACACGTCAGAGAGGAGCCTCGGAGGAAAGCAACCCCCCAAAACCTTGATCTTGGCCTTCTAGCCTCCAGAACTGTGAGAAAATGCCTTTCCGTCATTTAACTGGTGTTTTGTTATGCAGCTCTAGCCAACTAATACAGCCCCTAACACCGACACCTTTCAGAGCTGTTCATGTCCTGCCTTAGCAATCAACTGCTATGAAACTGGGTTAGGAGACTCAGTAGGAAAATGTGTGCCCTTTACAAGTAATGAGAACAAGAGTGAACTATGAATAAAGCATAGCTTACCTTTAGGTGAATATAACAGTCTTTCAGCTCGGACTCCCTGACAAGGGGTCCCTCCACAGGGCCAAACTGGGTGCGCTTAGGGATTCGCCTTTTGGAGAACACACCTCCAAGGAACCGGTCAATGTAGAGGACCAGGGGGAGGCTGGCTCTGGCTCTGGTGAGCACGGGACGGTTGGGGATGGGGTGCAAGGGGCCGTGCTTTGGGCACACTGAGGAGTGTGCATTGTTACACTCCTCACACCCTGCAACAAACAGAAAACCCGCAAGTCAGATCTTTCAACATGACTTGATCTCAGGTAAAAAGTTCTAAGCTGAGCCCTGGCCGGGTAACACAGTTGGTTAGAGCATCATCCTGATACGCCAAAGCTGCGCATTCGATCCTCGGTCAGGGCACATACAGAAATCAACCAATCTATAGTAATAAAGGCCTAATATGCAAATTGACCCAATGGCCGAACAGCGGACGACCTTCCAGACAACCTTCCGGATGAAGCCGGGGCTGCGAAGGCCTACTCTTGTACAAATTTCATGCATTGGGCCTCTAGTAGATGCACAGAGGTGGAACAACAGGTCAATGTTTCTCTTTCTCTCTCCCTTTCTCTCTCTCCCTTCCCGCCCCCACTAAAAAAAATCAATTAAAAAGTTCTAAGCTGAAAAACCCCCAAGTTTTCAGAGCAAAATTCAATTAACTCCTATAATTACAATACCCATTCAATTGTAATATATTAGCTTTCATTGGCCAATAAAATCCTGAACTTCTCCTCTAAAATCAGGCAGAATCAGCTACGCCTGCCAAAAATAATATGCAGGCCATGGCTGTGACTTATTTCTCTACTGGTATTAATTCCAATAGCGGCCACTACATTTACAAATCAATTATAATATATCTGAAAAGAAAAAAAAGAAGAGCTTATTAGGCTAAATGTTATAAAAACTGATGAGATGAAAAAGGTGAATTTTATAGTGTATAAATTATGTCTCAATAAAGCGTTTAAAAGAAAACCTGACAATACCATTTAATCAATTTTTTTCAAAAGAAATTATAGAAATCTCATTGTCTGGGAACGAAAACAGAGAGCATACTGTGCAGTTTGAGAGTTCAATGCACTCCGTGAAGGTAATGCTTAAATGAATGAATTTAACACCCCAGCCTTCATTTACCTGGATGGCACAATCGGACCCACCCGGAGAGGACGCACTGGCTCATTCTCCGAGTGATCAGTTTGCACTAAGCATCCGCACTCACCGCCTCTCTCCCCATAGCACCCATCTGTCAGCTAACCGTCAGAATGATGTATATATAGCCACTGGACCACACAGAGATCACACTCACGACCCTTAGCTAATTTAATTAGCCAATCATATTTTACCAACTCTGGCTGTGTGATGATCTGGCTTAGGAAATAGGAATTTCCAATTTCAATAATTCTCCAATAGTGAAGAGTTACTTTATATGAATGTCTATAAGAGAAAGTGACTTTATGCGTATTTTGATTAAGGAGTGGCCTTGAAAACACATGCATTCAAGGAAAAACACACGAGGTGGTTCTCTGTTGGACATGAAGGTGAACTCTGGCCCCATGCAAACGGGCTTTACCACCATCACACGGAAGGTCCGAGGAGAAATCTGGGGAGCCCGGCCAGTGTGGCTCAGTGGTTGAGTGTCAACCTATGTACCAGGAGGTCAGGGTCCAATTCCCGGTCAGGGCACATGTCCAAGTTGAGGCTCGATGCCCTGGAGCAGGGAGCACGGTCCACACAGGAAGCCTCACTCATGAGAACTCGCTGGTACTCACATAAGTCGTGCGGGTCAAAGGGCCGAGGGGGATCCGGTTCCCACTCATCCAGGTCTGTGTCTTCACCATCTTCCTCCTCCTCTTCCTCTGTGTCCTCATCCTCATCCTCATCCTCTTCCTCTTTGGCCTCTAGTCTACTCATAGGGTTCTGCAGAGTGGCCAGAGGGTCCGAGCCGTCCACACTCTCAATGGAAGGTAACACCTGGTTATGCACCGGCAACGAGGCCTGGACAAAGTCGCATGACAGAGTTAGCACACGTTCTCTTGTAGTTACTGTAGACACGGACACACGTGACATTCAGGTAGTGGGCGCAGGTATTCTTCACACTAGCCCCCTCCAAGGCCCTGGAAAAGTGATTTCCATCCATCGGCTGTAAACAGAGTCTGCCCTCATTTTTGCTGTTTCTGCCCCACATCCGGGCAAGCTGATGAGAAGTCCAATGGAGTTTCAAACCCCACCAGTACCTGACCATGTGCTCTCGAACCCTACATCTCGACAAAACCCTGACCATTCCTTACTCCCTCCAGCCATTTCCAACCTGCTGGAGGGGCCTGCCCTGTCTCCCCTGGGACTGCAAGGATGTGAGCAGCAGACCTTTTCATAGCCTTGTGGTGTGCGTGTGGTATCATCAGTCTCGACCTCTGAACTCAGTTTTGGGTGGGGGCCCCTCCTGCCTTTTCAGGGCGGCCACAGCACTGTAGGTAATGATTTTACCTACCTTCCACCACTCACTTCTCAAACTAAGCACACGGTGCAACCTGCAGTTGGTAAAATTCCATGGTGAGCAGCTCTCCCTCTACCCCTCAGAGAGGCTGAGGTCTTAAGAAAGAATGAAAGTGGTGCCTATGTGTTTCAGTGTGCTGAAGTCGGTCTTTTGCAAATAAGGGGAGGTTTGGGTCATGTATTGGGTTAAGGCCACCTTACCAAATCTGCTGGCAGTACATAAAAGGTCCCTCAGAGAGTTTTCTCACCTAAATGAGTGCCATGGGTTACAGACCACCCAGATTCCTTTTACCCAATCTTATTTCTCCTGCCCAACTAGTCCCAATTAACCCTAAGTTACACTCAAGCCATGTCCCCTTATAATTTAATAGATACAGCAAGGCCCTAGCTGGTTTGGCTCAGTGGATAAGAGCATGGGTCCTCGGACAGAAGGGTCCCAGGTTCCATGCCGGTCAAGGGCACAAACCTCAATTGCAGGCTCAATCCCCAGCCCGGGATTCTGTGGAAGGCAACCAATCGATGTGTCTCTCTCACATCAATGTTTCTCTCTGTGCGTTTCTTCCCCTCCCTCCCATTCTCTTTAAAAAAATTAATGGGAAAATATCCTCGGGTGAGGATTAACAAACAAACAAACAAACAAACAAACAAATAAATAAATAAATACAGGAAGTTCTTTTTGAATGTCTACTCCCTTTTTCTTTATCTCCCCACCTGGTGTTTTCCTCACCCAGGATGCTCTTCCCGCACCAATCTTCTAAAGCAGACATCACGTTCCAGTTTCTCCATGACCCATCCTGACGCTCTAGCCCTCCCTGACTTCTCTGCTCTGACCTCCGGTGGCACCTGGAGGCACAGAATCCCATCCACGTCACCCAGCCTCTGCTCCCCAGTCAGCACCTCCCAGGGCAGCCGGACCCGGCTGGAGAGTTCAATGATGGTCTCTGTGGCGTGGAGATGTCCCTGTCCATATCTCCCATGCACTGGACGGGCCCTACATCTTCCCTCTCCAGACACCTGAAGACAGTTCTTCAACTACGTCAAGACCAAAACCTCTAATCCATTCACATGGCCGAACTTCCAGCCCCCTCTGCATCCTGCTGTCTTCATGGGCTCCCCGGTGGATTCCATATCTGTCTGAATGTAGCATTAGCATTTATGACGGCCTCTCTTCCCCTGCTGACCCATCTCACATTTGCAGATCATTAAATGCCCAGGCCCCTCTTCCCTCTCAGAGAGCTATTAATCCACTTCTCTCCTCCTCAGAACTTAAACAGCTGATTTTCACTCAAATGAGAGGATTCTGCATTTCTCCTCAGTCAATTTCCTTTTATTGCTTGTTCTGTCCTTCCAGTCTGCCAAGATCTTTATAAGCTAGATTCTGACCTCTCACACATTGGCAAGCCCTCAGAGCTTCGTAGCCACTGCCAAACACCACCTGCTTTTCAATGCTATGCGTTTTCCTGCGAGTCCACCTTGACTCTCTACTTGCCGCTCAGGGAAGCAGAGTGCATGGGCTTTGGCGTCAGATGTGGATTAAAATCCTGGCCCCCTACTTGGCAAGGTAATAAACTACTCTGAACCTCAGCTTCCTTATCTGTAAAATGGACATAGCAATAAACCTACACCAATAGGTTGTAAGGACTAAATGAAACAATAATGTATATGAGGGTAGTAGTAAAGTGTCTGGCATTTAGTAAGTGCTTAATATTAATAATCATATATTATTATCATAAATTCTGTAAGGACTGAGATAACATTATATGTAAAAGACTGCTGAACATTATATGTTCAATGAAGATTACTTTGTGAAAATATATCGGCCCCGTGGGAAATGACACCAGTCCCTGTAGGCACCTAAAGGAACTGGGCTGCTGGTCACAGAAACACCCGTGGTTGGTCAGTTGTGCACCAAGTCCAAGAGCTTCCTAAACTCGTAACGAGGAAGTTCTGCGAGTGTTTACAGAGCCTGATGCTATGGCAGTCAAACCTCAGAGAGAAGGCAAGGGAGGGTGGGGGGAAGGGGGAGAGATCAACCAAAGGACTTGTATGCATGCATATAAGCATAACCAATGGACACAGACACTAGGGGGTGAGGGCACGAGTGGAGGGAGGTGGTGGTGGGGGGCAATGGGGGAATAAGGACACATATGTAATACCTTAATCAATAAAGAAAAAAATAATTAATTAATTAATTAATTAATTTTTAAAAAAAGATCATTGCCCAACGTTTAAAATACTCAGGCTCGCCCGGCCAGTGTAGCTCAGTGGATTGAGCATCATCCCATGGACCAAGAGGTCCCAGGTTCAATTCCCAGTGAGGGCACATGCCTGGGTTGCAGCAGGCAACTGATCAGTATGCCTGTCTCATCGCTGATGTTTAGATCTCTCTCCTTCTCCCTTCCTCTCTGAAATCAACAAAAATATTTTAAAAAGTAAAAAATAAAATAAAATACTCAGGCTCCAGAAAGCAGATAAAAATCAGTTACCTCCAACAGTGCCTGCCTGTTTTAACATGCATGCCTGTAACCCAGGAGCCCCGACTCCTACATGGCATCCCACCTCTGCAGCTCAGGGCCTTCTAGAAGCTTTACGTGGGAGGACAGCATGCTGGGGGCTGCTTCAGCTTCGGCTTCCATAAAAGCAGAAGGAAATACCCGCCGAGTGAAGCCTGCACAAGGAAAAGAGCAGGGACTCCTGTCTGGCAGCAGGACTGCGTTTGCCGCCTCCCCTCGCAGCCGCCCCTGGTCCTCCAGCAAAGCTGCTGCGTTCCCACTTGTTATCTCAGAGCACAGTTTCAATGTCGCCCTTTATTCTAAGCACTTAAATTTTATGCCTGTGTTAGTGATGAATGTTATCACACACTGAACAAACCAAAGCATATATCCACCTCTGCTCCTCATAAATTCTTTATATCTCTGCAGAGCCAACCTCAAAGAATGAATTCAGCAATTCAGAGGCGTTCCAGCGGAGCGGAGATGTATTTCCCCCGCAGATGCTGCTAGAAAGACTGTGGTTGGGCAAGGTTACCGCTGGCTTCTCGCCACTGCTGAGAAAGCTGACATTAAAATAGTACCAGCAACCTTCTCCTCCCCCGCGCTGAGCTTCCCTAAAAGACTGTGGCAAAGAAAAGGTCCGACACTTCAGCATTATCTGGAAAGACTGATGTTAAAGCAAAGGTTGAACGCACAGCAGAATCGTGCAAACTACTGCTAAAAAGGGATGAAAAGGGTCCATGACAATCATTGCTAGGGACATACTGTCTATTTCCAGAAAGCATAGACCTCAACACACAGTAGGCATGCATTATAAATTGGTTCAATTAATGATTCAAATTCAGCCTGGCCAGTGGTTGAGTGTTGACCTAGGAACCAGGAGGTCACTGTTCGATTCTGCACGTGCTGGGTTGTGGGCTCAATTCCCAGCAGGGGCCGTGCAGGAGGCAGCTGATCAATGATTCTCATCATTGATGTTTCTATCTCTCCCTCTCCCTTCCTCTCTCTGAAATCAATTTAAAAAAACAACATATTTTTTAAAAACTAATTCAAATTCAACTGACACTTACTGGGAGCTAGGCATGTTTTTAAATTCCTTTGAGGCCAGGTAACATTACTACATCGCTCCTAAGTGGCAGAGATAAAATTCAGATTCTGACTCTGCTTTTTCCGCTACATGACAATGGCCCTAGGAAGCAAGGTGAGCCTCACATACACCTTGAATCCCAGAGCCACCAGGCACCCACCCCTGCTCCGGAGACAACAGCCAGGTGGCAAGGTCGCGTGGCAATTATACTCACAGAAAGAGAATTCAACACAAAAGTATTTTAATCCTGTGCATTTTGTCACCCACAATAAAACACGGGAGGTAGGAGGAAAAAGAATTTGTTAAACTTATTGGTGCACGTTCTCCGTCCCACTTAATGCCTCGCTCTGTAATTACCTCTGAAACTATGTAATGCGGTTCAGGAGGCAATTTATGGGAGGAGTGAAATAGGAAGCCACACTGGACAGCAGCAAATGCAACAGAAGGCTTCTGGTCCCTCCCGAGACCAATGACCAGGCAGCATATTTCCTCACAGGCTCATTTTCAGAAACAAAGAAGAGACTGTGCTTCCGGGTCTGGAGACCACGGGTGCCTTGCTTAGCGGGGAGGGAAGACACATATGAAAAAGGCTTCAGCCCTGGCCGGTTTGGCTCAGTGGATAGAGCCTGCGGACTAAAGGGTCCCAGGTTCGATTCCGGTCAAGGGTACATGCCCGGGTTGGGGGCTCGATTTCCACCCCCCTCCCCCAGTAGGGGGCGCGCAGGAGGCAGCCAATCAATGATTCTCATCATTGATGTTTCTATCTATCTCTCTCCCTTCCTCTCTGAAATCAATAAAAAAAAAATATTTAAAAAAAAGAAAGAAAAAGGCTTCAAATGGGTTTTGCCACCACTGAAAATAGGAACCATTTTGCTAAGGGGGGAAAAAAAAGCATTTATCATCTGTGTTAAATGCCCATCCAACCCTCTATCCGGAATTTATCCAGGTCACAGAATAAGCTGACAATCAATGAGGTGTTATAGCCAGGAATAAAAACCGTGAGGGTTGAAAGGAAACTGTAATAAAGAAAGATGCTAGGCCTACAGTTACACTTCCTTGTGATGTCATTGTTCACAGAGCTATCTGAGCCCAACCTTCCTTTTGTACAGAACATGAAACAGATTGTTTCTGGAGATTGAAGAAGATGAAGGGCCCTTTGAGGTGTAAATGGCAACATAATTTCTAATTAAAATATGCCTTAATAGTAAAACAACAGAATACCATTTTGCATATCAGATTGGCAAAATAGTAAAAGAACGGAAGGGTGTGTGGTAATGGGCAGTCTCATATATTGTTGGTAGGAATGTAAATTTTTTCACCTTCTGAAAAGCTGTTTAGGGCATCTTGTCAAAATAACTTTCCCACTTATAGTGAAAAATTTTAAACATATGTCAAATAGAGAGAATAGTATAATACACCTCACACACCCATCACTCGGCTTCAAGTATCAACGCATGGCTAACCTTATTTCAACTATTCTCCCACGCATTTTCTCCCTCACTAGATTATTTGGAAGCAAACCTCGGGCACTGTTCATTTTCATCTGTAAATAGTTCTGTAGATAAGTCTACAGAAAAACAACTTTTAATTTTATATATTCGCATATCTAAAAAGTTAATCATTCCTTAATATCATCAAATAGCCACTTAGTGTTAGGATTTCCCCAGTGGTCTCATTTTTTTTTTTTACAACTGGTTTGTCCAAAGTCTCCTTTAATCTGTAAATCCCCATTCCTCTTCTTTTCCTTTGCAATTTATATGTGGAAGAAAGTAGGCCTTTTGCCTGACAGTTTCCCACAGTATGGACTTTGCTGACTACATCCTTGTGTGTCTCTGAACTTGTTCTATTTTGTCTACCAGGCTTCCTATAAGCTGGTAGCAGAACCCAGAGACTCAATCAGATTCAGGCTCAATTTGGGGAGAGGACTACTTCATATGAAATAAAGTAGAACGTACACAACAGCAGGAGGCCTATAATGAATGGTTCTCTCTTTTTCATGATATTAACAATGTTCAGGGGGTCAAGTTGATCCATCCGTTATAAAGTGCCTCGTCAGCTTTTTCCTGATGGTTTCCGACTATTGTTAATGATCACTGCCTAGGTCCATATTTCATTCAAGATGAAAAATGGTGATATTCTAAGCCAGGCCTCCCCTCTTTATTTATTAGTTGGAATGCTTCTAAAAAGATATTTCCCTCATCAAGTAATTGTTTACCTGAGTACATTCAGGGAGAAAGGCCGTATTCTTTCTGGTCATTTACCAGTTTCCTGAATAATGAATGTAGTGGTCCCTTAGCATCCTCAAAAAGTGACCAGTGCGTTATTGCTTTTAATATCGCTATGAGCTTATGGGTTTTAAATATATTTAATGTATTTCAATCTATTATAGTTGTTTTCCTTTTAAAAAAATATTTTAAATATATTTTTATTGATTTCAGAGAGGAAGGGAGAGGGAAAGAGAGATAGAA